TTCCAGTGGCATTGAGTCTTCCAGTAATTCATCTAATAGAAGGTCTATGCCACATAATCTAGCTTCCATTTTATTGTTAGCAGGGCGGACATCCTCATATTTAGTGTTTTGATCCGGATAAAATCTTAAATATTTTAAATGAGATTATTGCCGAAAAAAGATTGTAAATCTCAGTTCTGAATAGACTATAATTTCGACCAGAATATTTAATATATTATGAATCAAAAAATTGGTAATTCTGATAGTTCCATCCTGACTTAACCGAAACGGATACCGGATAAAAACCGGATAAAACCGCTTCGGATCCAAACACTACTCATATTATCACATTATTGCCGATCATTTTGCCGATCATTTCAATTATCTATTCGATATTATCTCATAAAAAACATGATTATTGAGCTACTTTCTTGCAAATTCCACTATGTATAAAACCAAAATAATTTTTCTTTAACCATGCTCATGCAAAATGGATTGAAAAATGATGCTTTGAAAATTTATATTTATTACATAAATTATATCAATTTAATTAATATAATTGCAAATATTAATTTGGCCATAACTCGTGGATTACCTAAAATTAGTTCAGATTATTTTGGCCATTAGTTTTAAAACAGTTAAACTATAACCTATAAAAGTTTCAAGTTTTGGTCTAACTTCTATGATTTTAGCTAGAGCTTTAAAGTCACATATCACTAAATTACTATATGATTGGCAAATAATCGGAAGGTGATATAAAGCATGTGGCAATCCATGAATAAACTTATTTTTTAAATCATCACAATACATTTAAGCCTTGTATAATAATCCATCATTAAATTATTACCTTAACCTAGAGAAACTATTAAAGAAGTCTTTTCTAAGCTTGTCATTTTTCTAATTCTATTTTTATCATCTTAAAATATTCATTTAGTAATTAATCATTCTGAATTAATGGTGGGTATCCTTGCTCTTTTCAGAATCTGAAGCTATCTATTGCTATAATGGATTAGTTATATATTATACCATATCTTTAATTGAAGAATAATCCTACTTCTTTTATAGAATACCTGCCATTTTTTTTTAAAAAAGTGCTAAGGAATTTTACAATATTGCATATTCATTTATAATGCAATTAATTGGATTAACATTATTGTGATTTTCAAATTAGTGTGATCAGGTAATTTGTTAATCATTTATAATGAAAAAACTGAAAATAACTGAAAATAACCAAAACCCTCATACAAATTATATTCAAAAAGTTATTTCTAATAATTAATGGTCAATTATTTTTTGTTTTGATCACTTTTTAATATACAGTTTACCCTTCCTATAGCGAATTTTTATATAACGAATCACATGATGCTTAGCCAATAAAATATGTCAATTTTCCCTCGCTATAACGAAGTAACCAATCAAATTCTTCAAATTCTTCGTTAACTTGCTATAACGAATTTGAGGTGCAGAACGGTTTTTTCGCTATATCAAGGGTAGACTGTAGTAACCACTAATGTAATAATAAGAATTACATGAAATAAAGTTGGAAATTAATTATAGAAATCAATTATAGAAATCGTAGGAATCAAAACTACCAAGTTATATCGCTAGCGAAAATATGAAATAAACAGTGAGATCTCCTGATTTCCTCTTTCATCAATATAAAGAGTTATCACATCAAATCGGTATTCTCATAAATAAATGATCAAATGAATAAACGATCAAACGATCAATTTTGATCAACAAATAACAACATTTCACATAAAATAAATTACATTAGTAATACAAAACATCAAGAGATATAAAACAAATTAACTTCTCTGAATTTTTCCCCATATTTTATCTTTTTTATTAATAATTTTCAAACTTCAATAGCTCTCATTACGAAGTATATATTTATTTCAACTTCTAACCTTTGATAATTCTTCTTACAAAGTGTATATTTATTTCTTCTTGTGATTATTATTATGGAATTAAACATTAATTAAAACTTAGGTAAACTATAAGTATATTCAAAATAACTTTTAATAATTAATATTTTATTGAGTTACACTGAACTGCAGAATCCCTATTGAATTCCACTTATATTTATATATTTTGAAATTTAATTTTACTACCCTAAAATTATAAAAGTACTCTAAAAATATTCTTTTCTTTTCTTTTATCTTTTCCTTTCTTATGTCTTTTCTTTTCTTTTATTTTTTCTTTTGATAAATATTACATCATCTTTAATCTATAAATAGATATTATATCTAAATATTACATTATATTATGTGACCTATTATCACGTTGTCACCCCCGTCTGCCACCCGGCGGTAAACAACGTTCCCTGCTTCTGTTATGTATTCCACGAAACATTAATATTCTTGCTTGGTTTAGTTTTATTACTACTTGACTTTCAAATTGCGATAGCTCTCGCCATGATATTTCATCCATTATCTTCTTTCAAAATACGATAGTTCTCTTTACAAAAGTTTATATTTTATTCATTTCATAATTCTTGTTATGATATTAAATTCACCATGAATTTGTCCAATTAAAATTAATTAAGCGAACATTACAGTAAAGTTTAGGGCGAACCTATTACCTTTAAAATAACATTACGCTTTACTAACAATTAATTAAACAAAATTACTTTTTCATCATAAGAAAATAGTAACAAAAACAATCGAAACAATTAATTTTCATATCAAAGGGTATTTTATTTCTTCATAAAATTCACAATTAACTAATTTACTTAAAGTTTTACATCGTATCT